CTCAAAATGATTTGAAAAAGTAATATCAGAACAACTTTGAACAAAATTCCTTGGAAAGCTCCATGCCTTTTGAATATGAATGTGCTAGCCATTAGGATTGTGCAAAACAGGCCCTATTCAATTCGGATTTTGTCTGAATCAAGAACAGTGATTCAATCCGTTGATTTGGATCACTGTCCCTGATTCGATTCAGCTGAATTTGAATCTGAAGAGTCGATGCTGATTCAGTGAGTCAGTCATTCAGACACAGGCACAGCTTTAAACTTTTCTTATACATACCTTGAGGTAGCAGTGCAGGTTGTGATTGCTGCAGTACTGGGGCAGATGAAGCATCCCACAGGAGCATGTGAACCCAGAAGTGGACCAGAAATAGTTCCGGTCCACTTCCGGGTCTGCCAGGTAATGCACTGGGGGGGGGGCCCTCTGTGCCCCCCCCCCCCCGAGCTTGACAATTGGCTGCCAGTGGACCCTGGGTGCCCCCTGCAGATGCAGGAGGCATCAGTTGCCAAACCAGGGGAGTGCAGGGCCCCCTCTGCATGCTCCCCAGTGGACCAGAAGTTCTTTTAGTCCACTTCTGGATCTGCTGCCAAGGGTGCTGGGGAGGCCCCCCATGCTTCTGTGGGATGCTGCATCTGCCCCAGCACCACAGAATTCACAGCCCCTGCTACCTAGAGGCATGTAGAAAAACATTTAAAGCTGTATCTATGTCCAAATCACCAAATCAATTTAGAGGGTTCCGAATCAATTTGGAGAGATTAAAGGGTCCTCTGATTCTATTCGGATTCGGAGATACAGCCACTGAAGGAGGCTGAAACTCTACCTAATCAAATCAGGGGCCGAAGCTTTGCAGAGCTCTACTATTCATACTTCTGGGAGCAGATCCTCAGTTGGTGTAGAATTTACCTGAAGTGGGAATTTGTCCCTTACTTCTTACAATTCACTATCAAGTCCTCAGTTGGTCATTGGACAAATCCACATGAATGGGGTAATTTTTATTAGCTTGCAAGTGCTTCTCCTGTTTACCTTAAAAACTACAGGGCAAACACTAATTAGCACTGATTATAAACTGACTGATATTTGCTCTAATTATTTTAGTATCGTATCCTATTGATCAGAATATCAAAGTAATAGTTGTGTGTGTTGGCAGTGTATGATGGATGCTGCCTTTTACACATAAGCATTCATTAAACACTTGTTCCTTATTTTATATACCTGTACTTTGAATTACATTTTATAATCATCATCTTCCTTCACTGATTTTTGCCTTTGAAATGCTAAAGAAGCCTAACTATTTACTGATACATTTAGCTTTCATATATATGCCATTTTGTAATAGTTAAAATGTATTTCTGAGGAACAAGTTAGCCTTTAAAACATAAGTCCATCTGTAGTATTTCAGTTCCAAACAACCTATTATGGGGAGAGCCCAGTAACTTACATTTGCCATGCAGCTGCTACGCTTCTTCATGTTTCATTCAGAACATGCAGAATACCCTTCTTCTGCAGTCTGTGAGGCTATGAGACGATGTTCTTCCTACGCATTCCTTGCAACCCATTTGTTTTTTGGGTATGAGCTACACTGAGCATTTAAGAGTCACACAGGTAATCTATTTTGCATATGATAATTAACAGTTTTAGGCAAGGAAGAAATTGCTACAGTGAGCTGCAGCAAACATGTTTAAATAAGTCAATAGATTACAAAACATTCTAGAGTCATTATCTTTACTACTGCTAAATTGAATTTTAGCAGATTTCCAATTAAATGCCCATTGAAATCTTTCAGTTGACTACTTAAATCAGGTCATTTATCCAAGGGACAGTTGTGGAGGAGAACTGTGGTGCTTCACAGTTATCTTTGTAGATAACTGTGCAGTCTCAGTTATCTTTAAAGTAGTCTAACTAAAGTGTACACCTTTGAATTAAATTGAGAGTCTATCAGAGGGCAACAAAAATGATTCAGGGCTAGAGAACAAAACTTATGAGAAGAGGCTGAGGGAACTGGGCTTATTTAGTCTGGAGAAGAGAAGATAGAGGGGGGATTTAATAGCAGCCTTCAGCTACCTGAAGGGTGGTTTCAAAGAGGATGGATGTAGGCTGTTCTAGGCGGTGGCAGATAACAAAACATGGAGCAATAATTTCAAGTTGAAGCAAGGGAAACTCAGGTTAAATATTAACAAAAGTCCTTCCCAGGAGGGCAGTAAAGCACTGGAACAGATTATTCAGAGAGGTTGTGGAGTCTCCAGCTTTAGAAGTTTTTACCACTCAGCTAGACAAAGCCCTGGCTGGGATGCTGTATTTGGGGATGGTCCTGTTTTTAGGGGTTGGACAAGATGAGCTCCTGAGGTCCCTTGCAACCCTATTTTTATCATTCTATGATTATTCATGTTTAAATAACCTTTTTATTATTCTTTCATCACCACCTTAAATTACCTTCATGTCTTTCCTTTCCATTATGGCTTCCAGTTTTGAAATGAATATTAGGAGCCACTCCGTTTTTAACCCAAAGGATCTGTAGGATGCTTGGAATAGCCAGATCTCTCCTACTGTTTTCAGTAATACATGCATAGCTCCTTTATTCACTCTTTAGAGGACTACCATGTCCCTCTCAAACCAACTTCTGGCTCTATGTTTTCCTAACCCACTATGGACCTTTCCTCCACGCACATCAAGACAGGCTTTTCTGTATTTATCCTAAATCACCCTGGTTCTTTCTTTGTGCTGTTACTTCATCTTGTTAGCCTGCGGATCTCTCTTTTCAGGTTTCTGAGGCATCTGATCTTTTTCTGCATGCCTGGTGCTGAAAAACTCAAAACCAGTCTTTATGAACATCAGTCAAGTATCTGCAATTTCACAAAGCTTCTCTAATTGCAGGTCACCCTTCCCTGAAATGTTAAAGGAATTCCAAGGAGAAAATAAACTGAGTCTAAAGAACAAAAGGAACAAAATAGCTTTGATAATTAAAACCCATTTAGATAGTACTCAAGCAACTAAGGAGTTTTGTCTTGGTTCTAATACAGACCTGTTTACCATAACGAGAGGCCTGTGATTAGACATACAAGTAGATCTTTAAAAAAAACAAAAAAGAAAAAAAAAAGAGCTAGCTAAAAAAAATAATTCAGGCAAATGAAAAAAAACATACAAATTTGCAGGAAATATTTGCAACACAAATTAGTGAGTGCCTTTGGTTATGTTTAAATCTCTTCGGTGTCATATTCATCAGTGCCATTTTTCCCTACTTAGTCTTGTTCTGTACACCTCAATCCTTTAAATAAGGGAATGCACTCATCTTAGACTGTGTATTGGTAGGGGTCTACTTAACTCATGGCAAGACAAAGCAACATTGTCAGTTTGGTTGCAGCACAAAGAGCTGATTTCACAGGCATTTCCCAGTGGCCCTGCCCCTCGCCACTCATAGGTGGACAGGCATATACCATGTAATTTAACAGTGAATTCCATGGAAAGTAACTTATATAAGTTATCATATTATGATAAATATAAATATTAAATCTAAATCTAAATATATATATACAACATTACTTGTAACATATCATCATACTTTATAATTATTTGTGGTTTTCTACAAAAAGTTTAGAAATAGTAATTAATGCTAACCTTAATAGAAACATATTCACTTTACTAGTGTCTTCACTTAGTCTGTGTCACTAGCAGACAGTGGCTGTGTCTACATGAGATGCTGACTGTGCAGTCATTACTGTGCAGTCATTTAGTACTGTTATGTACCAAATGATTTTTAGATGACACTGACTGTGCAGTAGCTCATTACTACTGTGCAGTAGCATCACATCACACTTTCTATCATGCGATGCTGCTGTGCAGTAGTAATGAGCTACTGCACAGTCAGCATCTTGTGTAGACATGGCCATAACCCTCAATCATGTGATCTATGGCAGCAGTGATTGTTGGGTTATATTTGTATTGCTGTAAACATTGGGACATTCTAAAATAGCATATAGTATGAATAATTCACTAGGGATCTTTTTAGGTTGATTTTGCAGGAATCAAAGCTAATTGCAGATGACTACATTTTTCACAGGTTCTGTGAAAGCTGTGAAACTGTGAATTAAGTAGACCCCTATACATTTGGTGCTGCCTTCATTATCAGTCACAGCCATAATTACACCACACATTCAGAGCAACTTTTAGGTAGCTGCAATGACTCAGTTCTGGGACCTAGAAAACATGGAGTTGGTATGAATGGACAGTGCATGCTTTGGCACGGCACAGGCAGAGATTAAAGGGAAGCAGACACAGAACTTTAGACATTGTCAATTTCGTAAACAGATTTCAAAATTCTTCTTCCCAATCCAACTGTGCACTGTACATCAGCTTTTCACTAAGTCACTATCCTTCAAATGTACATCACTTCATTGTCCATGCTACTGTTTTAATCTGCACCATCAAAAGTTTCCTTATCAAATAATCATCTTTTCATTAATTAGTTATAAAAAAGACATATTATGTCTAATTTGGAAATGTTTAAAAGAACTCAATACTACACTTACTTTTTCCCAATGTTTTCATTTCCCCCAGTTCTGTCACATTACTACCATTCCATAATGTTGTTACTATGGGCCCTACCATCATCATTGTCAATACAAGCATCAGAGACCAAAATGTACTGTAGAGTATCATGCAGTTATGCATAATGAAGAAAAATGACAAATGTAAGTTTAATTATGAATGAAATCAAAAGTGAAATCTTTAATGCTAAGTACAGTCAAGAACGCTGAAGCAGAATCGATTCAATCTGCACAGCTTCCTCCAAGCTGTATAGATTGAACCACCTGAACTGATGTTCAGTTTTCAGTTGGGAAAGGCAGAGAAAGGCCTATACTGACTTAGGCCAGTAGGTGGGGGTGCTAGAGCATGTATCCCAGCCTGCTGGCCATATGAGCTCAGCCAAGTGGGTCCATTCCTAATTAGCTTCCCAGGACATGCACCCAACCCCCTGGTTGAGGATCCCCCTGTCCATGTGCTGGCCCACCCTTGGGGGAGCCTCCACCTCAAGGGGCTTTTCCCAGCCTGGGTTCCCCAACCCAGGCAGCCCTGGGGAGCTGAGGGAAATTCTCCCCACTTCCCCGTCTCAGCTTCTGATTGCTTTAGCTGCTGCCACAGGAAGGAGGGAGAACTCCTTTGGGCTGAGTGCCTGCCCATGCAGCCCAGTATGGGGGCACCAGGGAGCCCCTGCCTTGCAAGGCTTCTCCCACCCCAGCCCAGGGTCCCCCAGCCTGGGAAAGGCCCGGGAAGGTGAGGGGAATTCTTACCCCTCTCCTGCTCCCCTGCAGCTGCTTTTGCCTCAGCTGTTGTGAGTATACCAGACCTTTAGTCACCAATATTACTACACCAATGTATCTGCACCAATGAAAGCCTTTAATGTAGGCTTTGAAAGCAGTACTAATTTTCACCATTGCACTGCATTTATAAGAAGATTTTTGTATAAGTCATCTTATTAGCAAAAATCTGAATATCAACAAAGCTGAAGTGCTCAGTGTTAGGAAGTGACACTATTAGGTTCTTGGGAAGCACTGGATTTGCAGCTGAATAACAGCTTTTTCCTGTGTCTCAGCAAAAGCTGCTAGTCACAAGGCAGGATGATATATTAAGAAGTAACTAACTTTGCAAATGCTTAAGCAAACAGTTTCCTAGCAAAAGGATAGTGTGTAAGATACATGATTCCTTGTGTAAAAAGAACAAGATGCAGCCCACCAGCTACTGTCAGGAGATAAAGCAGAAGCAAAACCTTGGAGATGAAGAAGGAGTCAGCAAGAAACCAGAAGGAACCAGCAAGTGACCAAAGGAAGTGGAGGTCAAAGTCTTGAGCATGCGCTTTTAGTAGACAGGCATGTAAATGAATGAAATGTATAGACAATTCCATGCTAATGAAGTGAGCAGTAAGCAGCGGTGGAGCTTGAGATGGTAGAAGTGGGTGGAACAGAAGGAGGAATGTAGTGGATGTTAGGAAGCATTAACCATAGTGTATAAATGTGGAAACAACTATTGTTCGTGGCGGCTCCCCTGCTTGCTTTTTTTTGGGGTGCTAGTCCAAAGCTGTCTCCATTCTAAATAAAGCTGTTGTGAGCAATGTGTGCAAGTAGCATGTTCTCCCTGCTTGCTCTGGCTAGTGAGTAACAGGCTCCATGAGCGATTGGATTGTCATCTCCCTAGTTGTTGAGAGCCGCATGGAATCAGGATCTAACACTCAGCAGTATAAGTAAGGGCTGAAAACAATAGGCAGGTCCCTGCTACACATTATAAATATGTAATTCAGTGGTTAAATCACACAATAAATTTAGACCAGCCACATGTGCAAAATGAGACTGACTACAAGTGCAAAGTAATTATCACACAATTAACTTGTTAATCATGCAATAAATTTAGAAGAGGCACATGTGCAAAGTAAGTATCACAAGATAAAAATGACCATCCAAAATAGCTAGAAAAGACTCAACCAGCTATAAAGTTAGTGCTTGAAAATATGTAACAACTCCACAGTTGGTTTCTATCCAGCTTGAATCTGAATGTGTACCAGGGCCCAGAAAGTCAGAAATTTTATATGAGATTTCAGAAGGAACACATTCACATGCCATTCCTTATAGTGCCAAATTTGTATACAGGAAAGCCTGGGGAAGCACATGTCCATAAAATCTTCATTAAGGCTGTACTTAAGATATACAAAGATATGGGCTATACTATTTTTCAGAATCCTGTTTTCTATTTGTCATGCAAGCATAAAGAGTAATAATATATATAATATATATTAGCAAAGTCAGTACAGTTTTTTTTTCTGCAAGACTATCAAGTGCCAATTCCTGTCCTACTTCATTTAGGAACGTTTGAAATAGTATAAAAAATACAGAATATTTTTAGTACAACTAGGAAGAGGAAAAAAAAATATTCTGCATATATAGAACTGATGTACTAAGGTGACAACTGTTACTAAGGTAACAGGTTGAAAGCAAATGCAATATGCAGAAAAGGGAATCATAAGAACTAAAGTACATTTGTTACTTTATCAAGATATTACAAGATTAGGACCAAATTCTAAAAGATTCTAAACATCGGAAGCACCAATGTAAGACACATTGCTGCACATTAGACTAATCTAATGTGCAGTAAAGTGTCACCCTCTACTGGGCAAGGTGTCACCAGCTCTGCATCCTGGCTGAGTAGGAGCCCCTCTCTCCCAGAACCCAGGGACCATGGGCTCCATGGCATAGGAGCAAACTGCCTGGCACATGGAGAGGGGGAGCGGGGGAAGAGTTGTCTTACAGCTGCTGAGGCAGCTACCAGAAGAAGCTAGCCCTGGCCCAGCCTGGGTAGGGGACAGGGAAAGCAGGCTACCTGCAGCAAGTGAGAAGTGGCTCAGTGGGAGTGGGGATAGAGGGTTCAGCCAGTGACTGCCTCTGGAAGAACCCACCCAGCCAGTTTACCATGGTCCCTGGAAACCTGTGTGCACATGACCCCCAAACTGAGGCTATGTGGTTATTTGGGGAAGAGAAGGTTCAGGCCTGCAGTCATGTCTTGTACCTGAAGAACTCCCTGGCTCAACAACTAGTGCCTCCTTGGTCCAGGGTTGGGGGGGGGGCACCCAGAGTCCCCCCACAGCTGATCACTGAGTTGGGGGGCATCCCCTACACATTTGGCAGTGGGCCCAGAAGTGGACCAGAAATACTTCCAGGCCACTTCCAGGTCCGCTGTTGAGCACACATGGCCCCTCCCCCACCATGCACTCCTATGGGATGCTCTATCCATCCTACCATTGCACTGTTCATGAGCCGTGCCTGGTATCTTGATGTATGTAGAAAAACCATTTAAAGCGGTGTCTATGGCCGAATCACTGATTCTCTGAATCAGCATCGAATCTTCAGATCTGGATTTGGCCGAATTGAATTGGGACAGTGATCTGAATCAACAAATTGAAATACTGTCCCCTGATTCAGGCTAAATCCAAATCCAAATCAAATACAGCCCATTTTGCACAACCCTAGTGGCTTGCAGACTTTTAGGCCTGGATAGCCTAGTACCTGGAGAGGGAATAGAAGAGGGACTGGGCATACATTGCCCTCCTGGAGGGGCTGGTCAACCCAGGAGTGGCAGGATGACATGGTGACCTGGGAAGTGGTGGTGACAGGAAAGGATCATCAGGTCCTTGACACTATCCTGGCCCTGGCAGCCACCTTTGTGCTGCCCAATGCCTGGTCCCTGGCAGCCGCCTGCAGCACCAAGACTCCCAGTGGGCTTGGGAGGAGGTGCAGCACCACCTGCACTAGCCAGCGTGCCTGGGCACAGCTCCTGAGCCCGGTCCTTTGGAGGCCTAGCCCCCTGCCTGGGCCACAGCTCACTGCTCACCCACCAATTATATAGCCCTAGAGTGGGAGCTGGCCGCAGCTGGGCCAGCTCTGCACATGGGCCCTACTGGCCCCCACCCTGTGAAGGAGGAGAGGGAGCAGGCTGGAAAGCTCCCATCCTTGCTCCTGGGCCAGCCCCCAGCTCACAGGGCTCACTGCAGGTGGCTGCACCCACTGTGGTGTCACCTAGGGCTGGGGTGTCAGGTGCCTCTCCCCAGGATCCATGCTTTAGGCACTTCCCCTCCCCACCACCATGAGTTCACAAAACAGACATTGTCCACAGTTGCATTGGAAGCAGGTCCTTTATTTGGTTGTACACAGGGTTAGAAAGGGGTGTGTTGTTGGGAGGGAGGGAGTATGCTGTTGGGGAAGGAAGGGGGTCTGTTGCTGTGAAGTAGAGGAAAATAAAGTTTGTAGTTTCTCAAAAACTGTCCATAGTGTGAATGTTCTGAGGGTAGTACAGTGGGCCCAGGGTGTATGGGCAGCTGCCAAGTTGTCCTACTGTGACAGCTGGAGGAAGAGGTGGTCAGCGAACACCTTGCAGACAACGCCCTGACCATAGTTGCTGGGGGAGATGGCAAAGAATATCCATGGCACGCTGGCCACTGGCTCCTGGAAGAACATCCCCTGCCAGTCTGAGGCTGCTCCTCAGTCTCCTCTGCCTACCTAGGCTTGCGTGGTTAGAGTCTGCAGCTCCCCCTGGATGTTGCGGGGTGGGGGCAGAGGGAAAGAGTAGGCAAGAGCAGCCCTGGACTTGACTGCTCCCATTGGGTTTAAATCTGTGCCTCACAGGGTGCATGTGTAGACATGTACCCAGCCAAAGCTTCAAGTGTCTGAATTTACTGCGCGTTAAAATTCAGGTACATTAATTGCATGTGTAGATGCACCCACCTTCTCCAGGGTGATGACTCATGGGAATTAAGTGCCTTGCAAGGCAAAGTTTTTAGTTTGTAGCAATACACATTTGAAAGGGAAACCCTGACAAACGGTATACACCAGAAGTTGTATAAAATAAATGCTGGTGAAGTAGATGTAGGTTGCTTTCTTGATGGGTGGAAGAACTCTAGAACTTGAGAAATATTATAAAATCAGGGTGGGGGGAGGGGAGGGGGAAGACAGAGATTTTTAGGAAGGAGACTTTAAAAAAAACAAAGGCCTCTAATACCAACCTTTTGTAATAGGCCTGTAAATCCTCCTTGCCTCCCATACAGATTCCTGTCAAACACTGTCACAATAGGCAAGGTTTCAC